ATGATAAAAGACCCACAGTATTCTCTTCAACACAATGAAACTGGATGCAGTTGAGGATATTGGCTTGAAAATGAACTTTGAAAGGAACTGACCAGGCTGTGTGGTTTGGTACTCTCATTAACTGAATAAGTCATTCTGACTATTCACAGACCTCTGTTGCAAAGCCATTTATCCTTGAGGATAAATTGAAGCTGATGTGCCAGTTGGCACCAAGTTTCTGAAATGAATGGCATCTCAGAAACTGGTATTCTTTAACATCAGCTAGTCTGTTTTATCAGCTGCTAGCAATGCTTCAAATTAGTGTGTCACATTTTGTATATAGTGGAGAGAAATACTCTCAGGAAGAGTATTAGAATAAATAATGTAATGTATTGTTTGAAAAAAAAAATCAATAGATCAAAGTGAGTGGTTTTGGTTTCTCAGATTCAAACTAACAGTACATTATAAATCAAATTCAGCATTAGAACACAGTGAGAAAAGTCCGCCATGTAATAGTCATCATTCACATACTTTGTCCTCTCTTTCCAGTGTATCCTCTTTGAAGATTGTATCAGTAAGAATTAATGCTGACAGTTGTTTTCAAATCCATTCTGGAATAATTGCTTTCTAAATATTAAGCAAGCCAAAAATCCCAGGAAGTCAGCACCTTTCAAAATCTAAGTATAGAAAACCAATGGTTTATATATATAATATTTTTCAATAAAGTGTGCACTCCTCTTATGACAAGAGGTTTTCAATATTGATTACAGAATTACAAAAAGTATTTTTGAAATGTAATGCAATTGCAATGTCATCTACATTCCACCACAACTAATGGGACTAATTTTTTTCTTCTACAGAAGGAGCTGAATTCACCACCATCATAGTCAAAGATGAACAAAATAGGACCTACTTTTTCCCAAATTAAATGATCTCTTCCTCCCTCAGAACTCCTCTGACAGCAACCCCACATTGCAGTGATATTTTCAGTGATAAAGTAATTCATGTACAGCTCTTCTACTACTGTTTAGAACATTCATTATTATTATTATTATTATTATTATTATTTCCTAGGCATTAAATGAATTAACATTTGGATTAAATACTTTTGAAGATTCTCAAGACAAGCTAGAAATAAAACAGTTGAAGATATGGAGATTAAATTAATTGAGAGGCTTGAGTTTCCATGCTTTACTGTATCTGGAAAATTGGCCAGGTCTTTTTGGAAGTGAAATACTAGAAAGTCAGTGGATGAAGTAAAGGGCTAGTTGTGTGAATAGTAATAGAAAAGAGATTATTTTTTTGTCCCTCGGGCATGACATCCCTGATCACTGAACTAAAATATTGTTCCTCCCAACTTCCTTCTCTCTGGTTTAATAAGGCAGGTGTTTTAAAGTGTTGCTAGCCTACTTTCCAGACAAAAATAGGAGCTTAAGAAGTTAAAAACATCCTTGGTCTGAGAAAACAGTTTGACTGTTGACTGTCTCATCTTGTTTTACTGAAGAAATTACCATCACCACATTTCCTGGCAACTGTACTTAGTTGATAAAAATTAGTTGATGAGACCTGATTGATTTTCAGAAATTAATAAATTAATAGGGTCTGCTAAAGCTTGTGTTTTAAGAATTTTAGAAAAACTGCATAATCCATTGACATCCCTGGATTTTCAGAATTAGCAGTAAGTTCTTTTGGACATTTCCACACCTCAAAATTTGTATGCATATATATATATTTAAAGAGAAGAACTGCCGAAATAAAGCCTTAGGTTGTATGATATCACAGTAAGATTAAAGTTTACAAGGACTACAGGCCCACTTTTTAATACTACTTACGCTTTGTCACTATAAAACAGAAAAAGGCAATAGAGTCAAATTACTGAGAGGAAAAGATTCTCCTGAGAAGTTCACAGTATTTGATCCCCATTGTCTACTAAAACAGACAAACTTTGAATTTTTAATCAAATTAAGATAAAATTATGAGACTGAAAAAAAAAAAAAAAATCAATACTCTCAGGTGGAGCCCTTAGGTATTTTTTTTGTTTCCCATATTTTCCTTGAACCAAAGATGGAACTAGCAGAACTAAATCTGTAACTACTTTGGAACTATGTCTTCATCTCTTTTTATTCTGTAAGTCCAGCTCTAGCTTGCGCACCGTGGAGCATAAGCAGCTAGTTGAGCAATATAATATTTATTGAAAACATTTCTGTTGCATAATAATGTTGAACACGTTTGAGTGATAGTGAAAAAGGACATTTTTAAGCAGTATTGTCTAATGTGAAATAAAACCACTCTCAACATTCAGACCATTTGCACTTCATTACCAAATATCACTGTAAGCATCATCATATTTTTAATGTGAAATCATTATTTTATCGATTGTCAAAACTAGAATAAAAAAATAATCTTTTAATAATTATATCTTAAATGACAGTGTTAGTGGTTACTCAGAATGCATGTGGAACATAATATTAGTAGAAGGCCAACATAATTTGAGAGTTTTGGGAGGTTTTTTTTGAAGCAGAAGCCTATTGGCTTTAGTCTCAGTTTGGAAATTAGGGAATACATTATGATATTCAGCAGGAAGAAATGTCCTTGTAAAATTTTAATGAGAATTTTCACTTTACTCAACTAATCAAAACAAGACTGGATGACAAGAGGCGATAGATACTGTGAAGAGCTTATGAGTGGTATCATTTACTACACAATTGATTTCAGCTTTAATACAAAAAAATCAAATAGGAAAAAAATTTCAGATTTTCCTTAAGTTAATAAGAATTAACATGTTTAAAGAGCATGACACCTCCTTATGGTAACTCCTTATTATTCCATACATCAAGTGTATGTCAAGTCATAAGTGTAAGTCAAGGCTTGAGCATAACCAGCTCAGGATGAGACTGTAAATTAATGTCCTTTTGGAGTATCATAGAATGATGGAATGGCCTGGGTTGAAAAGGACCACAAAGATCCTCTAGTTTCAACCCCCTGCTATGTGCAGGGTCGCCAACTACCAGACCAGGCTGCCTAGAGCCACATCCAGCCTGGCCTTGAATGCCTCCAGGGATGGGGCATCCACAGCCTCCTTGGGCAACCAGTGCATCACCACCCTCTGTGTGAAAAACTTCCTTCTAATATTTAACGTAAACCTCCCCTGTCTCAGTTTGAAACCATTCCCCCTTGTCCTATCAGTGTCCACCCCCGTAAACAGCCATTCCCCCTCCCATTTATACAGAATGGGGACAAACATCTCTGTGAACTGCCAGCATCATCAGCAGAGGCATTACATAGTTGCCATGGTAAGTTAAGTCAATGGAGCTGTTCACATGATCTTATTCAAAGGCCAACAAAATCCAGCTATATTTTGAGTATGACATTTATTCCATTCTTATCCACAATTCATTTGTGCAAGTGGGCTTTTTTACATTTTAATAAACATTGTGAAAGAAAGAGCTATTCTCATGCTACTTGCAGAACAACAAAGGAATGCTGAAATGTTTACAGTAGCCCTTTGTTATGATATGTTTAGACTAATTTCTCTGATTGAGGCATTTAGTCTGATTATTTAATGTTTAATTATTCTCTAGAAAAACTAAATACAAAGAAAAATATTTTATCAGGTCACTGCTTGAATTGATGTTTGTAGAGTCTGTTCACAGTAGAGAAATTCATTTGAAAAGGAGTCTGTTCATACAAAAATAGAAGGTGGCAAAATAATTGTTAGGATATTAGAAGGATAATCCTACATGAAATCTTAATCAGTGAAGTATTTTTTTACAATATATGTTAAAAAGAAATTAAAAACAAAAAACTTGCTTACTGAGATTTTCAGTACCAGTTGATGAAAATCATACAGAAATTTTGACATGTTTATCTAAATATTTGCATATGATATTTGAAGGACTTGTTTAATTATGCTGTATCTAAATGAACCTTTTTCAAAACAACTCAGTAAATCTAATGACAAAAGGTGCATCCTTAAACAGCAAAGCTGTATCTTTGGTGATGTTCCAAGCACAGTTCTTGAGACCTTAATAAATGCGTAATACATCTGCTACCTCCCAGTGGTTAGGGACAGGAATTGTCCCACTTGTGAGCACTGACCTGAGGATGTATTTTAAAACCAAAGGCTAACAAACAATTCTAATTGCAATATTCAGAATTATATTCAAAAAACTTAATTTATGTGCTTACTTGGCTTCATGATACAGGGGAAGGAATTCTTCATACAAAATATACACCAGTACAAGTTAAATGTTTCTGTCTTTTAAAAAAATCATAAAGGCAAATAGCTAGAGGCAACTTATACTCTGCCATTTGCTTGATGAAGACTGCCTTTGCAAATTTGATCTTGTGTTTTTCAATCTGACCCAGATCCTCGGATGTTTCTTCAACCAGAGAGGTTGAAGTCATTGTGAGTTCAGTGTCTGAGAGAGTGTGGGATCAAAGCAGTTGGAAATGTTGAATCTGATGGCTTTTGTAGTTGGAAGCTGCAGGAATATCCATCTCCCTCCTGGTCCCTCAGAAAATATAGGTATGTATTCAATAGGATTAAAACATTTACCAAATTGTGCTTGCCATTTATTTGTCACAGTAAGAACTGAGTATCCAAATACAGAGAAAAGTTGAAGTGATATATAAAGAAACAGAAATGAATGGATTCTGCATTCCAAAAGCAGACAGAATAATCTATTAATTACATTGTTGAAACATAAATGTTCGGTAATCTTGAAAGGCAATCGCTATATGCTTGGAAATATTCTGAGCATCAAGTAAATTGATAGCCATAGATAATTTTGTCTCAGCCCCTGTTCTTGCACAGAAATAATGCATCAATTGTTCCTGTGGATAAACAAAATTCCACTCTGCTTTTGCCATCAACTTGCTGAATACAAAACATACAGGGTTTAGCTTGGTTGAAAGGATTCTTTGCAATACAATTATAAATGACTTCTGTTGTGTCAAATTTTATGCTTCTTTCTTAACATCTCTTTAATTTCAACTTTTGACTTGAAAAAGTTGTTGTCTGATAATTCTGGTATGACTTTCGGTTGAGGTTTGGGACAGAAGTTATTGCCCGATACTTTCTGTGTGACTTTGGGTAGAGCGTTGGGGCTTGACAAGGTAAGCTTGGCTAAGCTCTGTTTTGTCCCTAGGTTTATGAGACAAAATTTACAACTACCACAGAAAGTTTCATTTTGGTGCCCCGTTGCATGTAACAAGTAAACTGTAATACTAATAAGTCATTTCTACTCTACCTTTGCACTCAGTGCTTACAGTAATTATTTCCATGGTGGATTTCTGCATGATATTCAATAGGTGAACAAAAAGTTAAATATATTAACTAAAAAATCATATTTTTCTAGGCCCATATTGCATCACAGAAAACACTGGAGTTTGACTATATAGGCGTGCCCACCTTCTGCTGCTTATGTCTACACTAGAAGATGGATCTGAGGTACAAATGTCAGCTTCTCTCAAATTTTGTGGTTATTCATCACCTGTAACAGACCATTGTGTGCTTTTGTATCTTACAATTGTAATACTTCCTATCTGCCACCCAAGATTTTTATGATTTTTGAATATGTTTATATGAGTTTCCACAGGGAAAAAACACTGTCTTCCTTCTGTCTTGGGCAATGAACTTTTGAACTGCTCAAAATGGTTAACTGCCTGTAGAACAGCTGGATTCATTGAGTCGAGTAAATGCTACCAGTGAAATAACTCAGGAGAAAAACTTAAGGAAGAACAAATCAACAACCAAGCTGTTTGTTGTTTGTTTGTTTGTTTGTTTTAATTGAATTAGCACAGAATAGTAGTTTCACAATAATTAAAATTATTTATGAGAAGGTGTTAGTGGGACAGTAATATCTCTACCAATTATTTGCTTTGATATCCTGTTTTGCTCATACCAGCTTCAACCACACTTATTGGAATTGTTGGAATCTGTCTTCCATATTCTATATTCTATTGATTTGTTCAAGTAGATGTATCAATCTGACTAAAGTCAGTCTACTTATTAGAAAGCCCAATTATGGGAGCAGGTTTTGCCATCTGAAAAGGAAATAGTGAGCTTTGTGATAGTCCATTGCTCTTATGGCAATCTCCTTCAGTCATCATGTGTCCATGTTGAAGAGCACATCATCTTTTGAAAAAGCTGTTTCTGCATTTATTTCTAGCACTACATCATGCTAGCAAGATAAACATATGAATTCCTTGGGGTCCTTATGAGGACACAAAGAGAAGTGTATTTCAGTGAAGTACTGAAAAAATTGCCCTAGACAATTGAAGACATTTTTGAATTCTATTTGAATTTGAATTCTTGGTTCTGAGGATTCCATTTAAACATCTGTATGTTGATTTTTAAATCTACTTCTAAATCAGAGTATAGATGTGCAGTTAGTTGTATTCATACATCTAAATGTACAAATAATTTACTTACCTAGCACTTATACTTCCTCATTTAATTAGATTCTTGATCATGTAAAATCACTGCAAGATTCTAATACTGTGTAGAAGAAGGAATTGTTTTGCTTCTTATTCAGATGATTGAGAAGGTCAAGCATTTGGATCTTCACTGTTCCTTTACCTGACAAGCAATTTCTATTTGCCCAAGTATATCTTCTTATTTCTACTCTGTTCTGTAACACATGGCTGAATATTCCTTTCTCATCCTCCAATATAATTGTTGCTATCTTTCTACTTCAATGAAACAAAAGTTCAAATAAGCAATTTTAAACTGTAGTTCTTTTTTTACCTGAGTTTTTAAATGTAGGAAGCAGCCGCAAATTTTTTTCATCACTCTGTTCTTGCATTGGCACTGACATACAAATATTTATTTTACCTTTATTAGATCCTCTTCTGTTTCAGTATAGATAGAGCACTGACTGTCATAACAATTTAAATGAAACCATGTGAAGCCATGAGTCATAAGATTGACAAATGCACACAAATTACATTAAGTCATTTGTTGTATTTTATTTTTAAGTTTGAAATCAAAGTCTTCTTACTAGCTTTTCATAATGGTATGTTTAGAGAATTAGAATAATTCTGGTTTGAAACTGATTTATAATTAGATGGAATTTTATAATTTATAAAAGATGAAAGTAAATACTATCAAATAGTATATACCTGTAAATAAATGTATTAAATAAGGGGTGGTTGTAACCCTTTCCTGAAATTGACTTTGGATATCATATCAGTATAAGTGAAACGTGTTCATCATGACAGGATTCTGAAGCAGGAACTGGCAGAACATGTAAATCCTTTATTCCTTTATCTTAAAGATAGTCTCCAGTCATTTAGGTCTCCAATACTAATTGCCTTCTGTATTAGATTTTCTTCCCTCTTCTGGCTGGCTTATTGGTTTTCTACTTACACAGTGACTCACTTGGTTTCTTATTTGGTGTCTCCAGTCATGCAAGGCAACAATGGTTGACAGAACAGATAATTGTCCATGCTGAGCTCCCAATGAGTCAGGCTGAATTTGCCTTCTGTATCCCCTGATTTTGCAGACCTTTCATGATGTCTTTCCTTCCAGTTCTCAACCTGGCCACAGATAATTATTCTGTTTAGTCACTTCTTTTCCTTTCTTTCCTTTCTTTCTTTCCTTTCTTTCTTTCTTTCTTTCTTTCTTTCTTTCTTTCTTTCTTTCTTTCTTTCTTTCTTTCTTTCTTTCTTTCTTTCTTTCTTTCTTTCTTTCTTTCTTTCTTCCTTCCTTCCTTCCTTCCTTCCTTCCTTCCTTCCTTCCTTCCTTCCTTCCTTCCTTCCTTCCTTCCT